CTGCTGCCCCGCGACCCGACCCTGGATAGGCGGAAGAAAATGGATGGATGAATGGATGGATGTTCAATACTTTTTCCCTGTGCCATTCCACATTATTACAAATAACTTCATTTCTGGACATTTATGGTTTGATTTCTTTGTATGTATGGATCACTTGGGTTGTTACCAATATCTGGTGAAAATTTCTTGTCATTAGCACCTCTAGTAATATATTTACTGAGAAAAATGGTGACGTGTTCAATACTTATTTTACCCAATGTATAACAATAATGCTAATTAGTTTCAGATTTGACCGTTTTAATTGGCTCCATTATGTGTATTACTTATTGTCTGCAGTGAGGGGTTCTCCTGTGTCTGTGAGCTACTAGAAAGCTGTTAAAACAGAAAGGAATCTCTGAATGGACATCTACAAATGATTAATGTTTGGAGTTAACCCTATTTTAAGAAAACAAAATCAACTAAGAGAAATTGCGTTTCCTGTGAAAATGCTAGTGGGAATGCTTTATGCTGAAAACTTAAGCTCAAAGCTGCTGACATTGAGCTGAAAATACTTTTTAGCAAAAGTGTTAGTGTGTTAAATTTGAAAAGCTAAAATAAGCAAAGAAAGCCTAATTTTGTATAAAAACTAGAAAGGAGAAAAAGTATAGTTAAAATAGCAAAAATTATCTAAAAGCTAAAATAGCTGAATATAGCAGAAAACATCTGTAAAAAGCATAAATAGCACAAATTAGCAGAAAAAAACATAAAAAGTAGGAAAAACCAGAAGAATAACAAAAAGTAGCAGATGCATAGCTGTAATAGCAGAACAAGCTAAAATTAGCATAAAATAAGGTAAACATAGCAGACACAAGTTGACCATAGCATCCAGTGAAAGTGTTGCAAAAAAAGAAAAATTAGCAGGAAAAAAGCAAAAAAGTACAATAAACAATTTGTAGTAAAATAGCTAAACAGCCAAAACTTTCAGTAAAACAGCTGGAAATTCTTTATTTATTATAAGGAAGCATAAGGAGCACAAAATTTCTGAACTTAGAAAAAAGTTGTAATAGCTACAAAAAACATTTTTAGGTTAAAAAAATGGTAATTTAGCTAACGACAAATGGACATTAGCTAAAGTTGCAGCAGACAGCGGAATACAGCAGAAAGCATCTGTAAAAAGGTTGAATAGCAGAAAAAAGGCACAAAAAAATCAGACAACAGCTGAAGAATAAGAGAAAGAAGCAGAACTATGGCTAAAATACCAGAAAAACTAAAATTTGCATAAAATTAGCTAAACGCAGCAGCCACAAGTTGAAATAAGCACCCAGATAGTGAAAGTGTTGTACAAATTGCAAAGTTAACAGAAAGCATAAAGCATAAAAATACAAAGAAGTGACAATTTGTAGTAAAATAGCTAAAACTGACAAAACATCCAGTAAAACAGCTAAAAAGTAGTTGAAAATTATTTAATTAGCATAAGGATCCAAATGTTGCAGAACTTAGCAGAAAAAAGTTAAAATAGCTACAAAAATTTAGCCTGGTAAAAACCAGATCCTTGTCCTTCACTTTGCTTCATACGAGGGTCTGGGCTCTCGGCTATAGAGAAGTGATTCTTGCAGGAGGCGTGGCCTCTGCTGAAGTTTAAAATGATTGGATCGGTTGGCCGCGACGTATGCCGCTGTGAAGGAGGCTAAGCTAAGAAGCTAACTGGAAATTACGTGTGCTGTAAACAACCTACTGAGAGGAGAGAAGAGCCGAGCCGAACGAGACGACTGTAAATGAGAGCTGCTGCTTTGTCAGACTAATTTATTTTAATTTCGAAGTCTTATCAACACAGACTGGCTTCATTCACTTCCTCCACTGCCGCATGCTAAAATAACTAGCAGACACTTCGCAGAACATCGACGTCATTCAAAACTCTACCTTCTCTTCTCTGATTGGCCCAGGTAAAATTCTCCTGAAGAAATCCTTCTCAATGGGAGAAGTCCCAGACGGAGCAGTGAAGGGAAACTAGAATTGAGCGGAGCTGCGTAGGAAGGCAAGGGCCAGGCTAACAAAAACTGTGTATTTAGCTTAAAATGCTAACTTTAGCTAAAAACAGCTGAAAATTAGCTAAAGTTGAAAGCACATAGCTGAAAATAGCAGGCACCTGTAAGAAGAATTAGCACAAATAAGCACAAAATGTAGCAAAAAAGCAGAATAGCAGAAAGAAACTTCTTTTGAGCTGAAATAGCAGAAAAAAGCTAAAATGAGCAAAAAAGTTGCTAAAATTAGCACAAGAAAGTTCAAAAGAACAGAACCAGAACAAAATGTGTAAGGTGCTGTAAAGATTTAGAAACATTTAAACTATATTAATATAATCATACTAATGTACTATACTATTATAATCATACTATTATACTATACGATCATAATCGTACTATCATACTATACTAATATAATCATACTATTATACTTTACTATACTACTATAGTATAATAGTATAGTATAATCAATACTATTATACTATACTATTATAATCTTACTAATGCACTATACTATTATAGTCATACTATTATACTATACTATTATAATCATACTAATGTACTATACTATTATAGTCATACTATTATACTATATTATTATAATCATACTAATATACTATACTAATATAATCATATTATTGTACTATACTATTATAATCTTACTATTATACTCTACTAATAAAATCATGCTATTATACTATACTAATATAATCATACTATTATTCTATATTATTATAATCATATTATTGTACTATACAATTATAATCATACTAATGTACTATACTATTATAACCATACTATTATACTATAGTATTATAATCATACTAATGTACTATACTATTATGCTATACTAGTATAATCATACTATTATACTATACTATTATAACCATACTATTATACTATACTAATATAATCATACTAATATTCTATACTAGTGTAATCATACCAGTTTTACATGTGTAGATCTAATGTTTGGTGTAGTGGTTGCTGACAGTTATTCAAACACAAACAGCTGTAAATACTGTACATCTACTCTAATCACTAAATGATCTTACACTAAACCTCTGGTATGAAAAGCAGCAGGTGATTGTTGCTCCTTCAATACTTTTTGTTGATGTGTTTTCTGACTGTTGTGTATTGTTGTATGGTTGTGTATTTGTTTTGGTCATACTTACAGCCAGCCGCCTGCATCTCCCAGCACACAAGAGGCCATCCAAGGCATGCTGTCCATGGCCAACCTGTCGTCTTCAGAGAGCTTACAGCAGTCGTGGAGCAACAACCAGTCCAAAAACAACAGCCAGTCTAAGAACAGCTCGCACAGCTCACAGGTCTGCAAGAAGCTGAGTGGAGAAGCGAGCGGCAACAGCAGCAGCAAGCGGCCAGTAAAACGTCTCCCGAAGAAGCCCAGGAAAAGCAGCAGTATTGAGAGTCTGGATTATGATGATGAGCAGGATCACATGGACGCATGTTTCAAGGACTCAGATTATGGTAAATAAGGAACAGTGAGACATTGACATTCTGCTCATCCTTATTCTTTTTTTGACCTTTAAGAAAGCTTAGGGCTACACCGGTTCAAACTCGTCTTCAGTACCATTCAAAGTGCTGTGATTAGTCTACAAAACACAGATTAATTCATCAATAATCACACTTCAAACTAAATCCTAAACATGGACTCTTATTCAAACAAGACTTCAGGAACTAAATCAATAAATAAGAAGTCAGATGCTGATTCCACGACTATTTTATTTTTAAAGCACTTCAAAACAACCACAGCTGCAACAAAAGCTTTACTTTAAAATTAAAGAAAACAGAGAGTAAGAAACAGGTAAAAAAAATGAAATCAATCAAAAGATTAAAATAGGAGTATTTAAATAAAAGCCAGTCTCAGGCTGTGCAAAACCTGGAGGAAAATAGATTTTAGATGAGTTTTAAAAGTTAAAAGGACAAAATTATGTAACAGTGGATGTCCACGTGTTATATTTTAGAGAAGTGGTTCAACCATCTTGTTTGTGGTCGACTTGTAGTGAGGGACTAGCTGTGTTTGTATGTTTGACATTGGATACACATGTCCACTGTCTGAAAGGACAAGAATGGACACAAGCCCACTGACAGAAAAAGAATGGACACAAGTCCACTGACTGACAGGACAAGAATTGACAAGTCCACTGACTGACAGGACAACAATGGACACAAGTCCACTGACTGACAGGACAACAATGGACACAAGTCCACTGACTGACAGGACAA